CCATCAACAAGCGGTTATACAAGATCTTGGTACCATTTTGTTGAGCCAGTGATTGGCTGTTTTGTAAAAGTGATCACTTAACCAGCTCTGTGAATTGTCACCCCCTCCTGCCGCCACTCACGGTGGTTCCTTGGCTCTCCCTTTCCTTTAGGGAGTATGGGACTGCAGTGTGTGTCTCATACCTCCCAACTGTCCCTGATTTTGAGGGAGTGTCCCTGATTGGGAACAATGTCCCTCTTTCCCCCTCATTTGTATCTAATTTTGGTCTGATCTTTATAATTGTACATAAAATGCACTACTTATTGTTCAAACAGTGTTTCCCAGTGCTAAACCTTTCATCCAGTTTCTAAATTGCTGCATTTGTAAATTTCATAAGCCAATATTAAGGAATAATAGTGGTTAAAAAAAACGTACTTGTAGGTTTAATTAATCTTTTTTTTGTCTAATTGTCTTTTAAGGGGGCGTGGCAGGGGGATTGTCCTATGTCTACATACATTTGCTAATAGGTGTACCTCGTTCCCATCTCAAAAAGTTGGGAGGTATGGAACTGTTAGAGATTCTGTATATAGCCCTACAAAACAGACAGCGCACAGTCCACGTGTGTTTATCTGCTTATCCTCTGAAAACAGGAAACAGGAACTTTATTATAGAGAAAAGACAGAGTTTATCATAGATGCAGCTGCAAACTTAAACACTGCCATCTACTGGTTGAAGACTATATCTCTACTGAACAATGAAGCATTTGTTGCAAAATACATGAACACTGTGGGGGTGATTTACTAGCTGAGTGAGACAGTGCAAAATCTGGTGTAGCTCAGCATAGAAACCAATCAGCTTTCAGGGTTCTTTTTTTGTCAAAGCTTAATTGAACAAGCTGTGGTTAGAAGCCGATTGGCTACCATGCACAGCTGCACCAGATTTTGCACTCTCCAGTTTTAGTAAATAAACCCCTGTATTCCAACAGAACAATTTGTTCCCCCATCTCCTCTGTGACAAATGAACCTGGAAGGGACATGGATTTAGTTTTCGGTTTCAGAGCTGTCATTCCCTGGCCGATACAGCCAGGGAAGCAGCTAAACAAGCACAGTTTGTACTCTATTAGCTGCAATGGCAGCCTCCATATTTCCCTTATGACAGGTTTACTCTACAGCTGTGAAAGGTTCTTATTCTGATTCACTTCCATTGACTTGGTAAGGAACAGGAAATGAAAGGAATTCCCCTCTTACTCTTGGTTCACAGCTAAGCGTTTTCTGCAGCGTTTTGTGTTTTGCAGAAATGCAGTACAGTCCATTTAACATGATTTCCTATGGAACACGTTCACATCTGCACGTTTTCACCCGGTGCTTTTTTTTGGAAAGGGTCAGGGACTTTTTTTAATGCAAAAAGTTGTGTTTTTTTTTCTTCAATGGAAACGCAGCAGAAAAACATGTATTACGTTGTTGCTGTGTTTTTGATGCATTTTGTGTTTTAAATCTGCCTAGCAACAAGAAACATTTAAAAAAATGAAAAATAAAACCCACAAAAAAAAAATGCGAAAAAACACATGTGCAAAAACGCAGCGCAAAACGCAATGCAGAAACGGCTCAAATTCAACCTGCATAGGTGTGAACCTAGCCTTAGACAGTTGTCACCGGAATAGGTGTCCCCATTGGAAAGTTTATCCTGTACTGTTCTGATGCAAGTGTGAATACTGGGCATCCCATCACTTTCTGTCTCAGTGAAAGTGGCCACCATTGGGTGAATTAAAAAGCCCTCCACACTGCAAAAAAAATAATTATGGTATTTAAAACAAATGTGTACTTTACCTGAAAGTGGCAAACTAACAGGTTCTCTTGATAGCAGCCCTGCAATGAGTCTATACTTAGCTGTTTCCATTATGAAATACAAAGTCTATATTTTTTCCACTTTTTCAACCAAAAAGCCTCAAGCAAAACTAAAAAAAAAAAAAAAAAGTTCATTTTATAGTTCATTTTAATGGAAATGTCAGAGTGAGATGTATATTGCTGTAAGGTCATCCTTCCCAAGTACTTTGAGCATGACATTTCATGTTCCCTACAAAGGAGACAATTTGGTGTGGCCATTTCTTCAGCTTAGAGTACAAAAAAAGAGAAAATCTTATTTTAGTTTCGGATAGAATGGAAGTAGAACCCCTTTCAGATTTTTATTGCTGCCTGTGTCCCCATTAGGGAGATTCGCCCTCTCTGTCTATCCTACCGAGACTGAAAATCTTATTTTTGGTTGTCACCAGAACATCCTCCAATGGGGACACCCATTTTGGTGGCATCCAAGGATTCTCTCACTTTGGAAGGATTTCCTTTTACTTCTGGTTTTGGCTATAGGACAAGCAGTGAAGGGAAATCACTCCAACGGGACATAGAAAAATAAATAAACTGACAGTTGTAACCCTCCCATACTGTATCCAAAATGGGAGAAAAAAAAATTGATTCCGTTTCTGCAGTGCTTTTTGCAGTACGTTTTGAGTTTTTGCACAAGCGGTTTTGATGCATTTTTGATGCTTGTTGCGTTTTTATTTAGTTTTTTTTATGTTGGCCAACTTGTTGCTGGGCAGATTAAAACCACAAAAACGCATCAAAAATGCTTAAAAAAGGCACACAAAACGCAGCACTTGCATTTTATATGCGGTTCCATTAAAGTCCAGTAGGGCGGCACAGTGGCTAAATGGTTAGCACCTCCGCCTGGCAGTACTAGAGTCATCATTGGTTCAAATCCCAACCATGGCATCACCTGCCTGGAGTTTGCATGTTCTCCCTGTGCCTGCGTGGGTTTCCTCCAGGTACTCTGGTTTCCTCCCACATTCCAAAGACATGCTGGTAGGTTAATTGGTTCCTGTATAAATTGGCCCTAGTATGTGTATGTATGTGAGTTAGGGACCTTAGATTGTACACCCCTTGAGGGTTAGGGACTGATGTGAATGTACAATATATATGTACAGCGCTGAGTAAATTGACGGCACTATATAAGTACCTGAAATAAATAAATAAAATAAGTCCATTGGACTAAAAACACGGAAACTGCTGTGGGGAAAGAAGTCCCTGACCCTTTCCAAAAAATACACCCACAAAAACTGCATAGATGTGAAAGTAATCCATAGGAAATCATGATAAATGGCATGCACTGTGTTCCTACAAAAGGCAAAATGCATAAAAAAACATACAGGTGTTAACCTGGCCTAAGCAAAGAACCAGTTTTCTGTTCTTCAGGCCGGACTGTGGCCAGTGGGAGTAGAATATGCCCCAGCATCAGTGCTTTAGTGTTTTAGGAGAAGAATAGTGCCCCATTGATGGTGTCAGTTGGTGGAATAGTGCCTGCTGAAGGGCCAGATAAAGGCAAGCAAAGGGCCACATCCGGCCCCTGGGTCACAGTTTGCAGACCACTGTCCTTGTGTTTTTGCTTCTCACTGGTGCCCGTGTTTCCTCCCATAATATAGAAATGGTCAGAGCTGGTTAACGCTACCTGGTAAGTGAATCTCAGGTTATACTCACCTGTCCTGTCTTCGCTCAGAACAGATGGGTATGGCCTTGTCTTTTTGCAGGTCCTGTTTTGAATCTAGTGCAGGGCAAGCTGAAGAAATCCCCCTTTCAAATCAGAAGCTACCCCATCACATTAGCTACCCCATCACATTAGCTACCCCATCACATTAGCTACCCCATCACATTAGCTACCCCATCACATTAGCTACCCAGGGGCGGACTGACCATTTGGAAACTCGGGCACTGCCCGAGAAGCCCGGGGTCGGTAGGGGGCCCCATGAGATGCCCCTGGTACCTTTTTCATAGGCTTTTTTGGGTGTGGTTTGAGTGTGGGCGAGAACACAGGGGGCCCCATGATCCCCTATTGCCCGGGGGCCCCATGAGTTGTCAGTCCGCCCCTGTAGGTACCCCTTCACATTAGCTACCCCATCACAGTAATTCTATAGAATGAGATTTGCACATATCACGCAGTTACCTTCTTCTAACATAGAGGTCTATTATAAATGTATTCACACCACTTTTACACGTTGTTCTAAATGCATCCAATGGTAAAAGCTATGGGTACCGCGGGTGAAAGCTGTGTGAACCATGGGTGAAAACATGTCTCAGTAGCCCCAATAGCATACACCTTTTTTTTTTTGGATAGAGTAGGGAAGGATTAGAACCCCGTTCAGGTTTTATTGCGGTCTGTGTCCTGGTTGGACGGTGTCATCCCCTCTGTTTGTCCTGGTGAGCATGGTCTCTGAGATAAATAGTGGCCGGAAATCCAACGTTGTAGAGTTGTCACCAGAACAGGAGTTGGGGGGATTATTTTAAAGTGGACACCTCTGCTGGTGATGAATGTGTCACTTTGGAGAGCTCTCGTTTCCTGTAGTATCTGCAGGACAGGAAGTGAGGGGAAATCTCCCGATTGGAGAAGACGTTCTAACCCTCTGCACACTATCTGAAACTAAACCAAAAAAGATTTTTGGCTTTGGATACACTTTAATCAAAATCAGGTAACCTGGAATTTTGGAACTAAAAGTCCCAGCTTGTCTTCAGTCTACTAACCTATCATAAGCATAATGTCAACCCATGTGAGTCACTGACAGTCTGTCACGCAGTGTCACAACCTGGGAATCACTGGTATGGATTAGGCTACAGTATCATTAGAATGTGGTGATTAAACAGAACCTGCGCCCCTTTATATCAGATGTGCATATCAGAGTCTTCCTTAACATCAGGAGTCCTCATGAAACCTCCCTTTTATATTGGGTTCCCATCAGCTTGCTCTTTATATCAGGGTCCCCATCAGAGTGCCCCCTTACATCAGTGGTCCCATAAAAGTGCTCCCTTACATCAAGGTCCCCATCAGAGTACCCCCTTATATAAGGCGTCCCCATCAGAGTGTCCCCTTACATCAAGGTCCCCATCAGAGTGCCTCTTTACATCAGATGTCCCTATCCGAGCCTCCCCCCCCTTATATCAGGTGTCCACATGAGAGTACCCCCTTACATACAACCAGTTATCCCCATCAGAGTGCCCCCTTACATCAAGGTCCCCATCAGAGTGCCCCCTTACATCAAGGTCCCCATCAGAGTGCCCTCTTACATCAAGGTCCCCATCAGAGTGCCCTCTTACATCAAGGTCCCCATCAGAGTGCCCCCTTACATCAAGGTCCCCATCAGAGTGCCCTCTTACATCAAGGTCCCCATCAGAGTGCCCTCTTACATCAAGGTCCCCATCAGAGTGCCCCCTTACATCAAGGTCCCCATCAGAGTGCCCCCTTACATCAAGGTCCCCATCAGAGTGCCCTCTTACATCAAGGTCCCCATCAGAGTGCCCTCTTACATCAAGGTCCCCATCAGAGTGCCCCCTTACATCAAGGTCCCCATCAGAGTGCCCTCTTACATCAAGGTCCCCATCAGAGTGCCCTCTTACATCAAGGTCCCCATCAGAGTGCCCCCTTACATCAAGGTCCCCATCAGAGTGCCCTCTTACATCAAGGTCCCCATCAGAGTGCCCTCTTACATCAAGGTCCCCATCAGAGTGCCCCCTTACATAAGGTCCCCATCAGAGTGCCCCCTTACATCAAGGTCCCCATCAGAGTGCCCCCTTACATCAAGGTCCCCATCAGAGTGCCCCCTTACATCAAGGTCCCCATCAGAGTGCCCCTCTCTTACATCATCAAGGTCCCCATCAGAGTGCCCCCTTACATCAAGGTCCCCATCAGAGTGCCCCCTTACATCAAGGTCCCCATCAGAGTGCCCTCTTACATCAAGGTCCCCATCAGAGTGCCCCCTTACATCAAGGTCCCCATCAGAGTGCCCTCTTACATCAAGGTCCCCATCAGAGTGCCCCCTTACATCAAGGTCCCCATCAGAGTGCCCTCTTACATCAAGGTCCCCATCAGAGTGCCCTCTTACATCAGTGGCCCATCAGAGTGCCCCCTTACATCAAGGTCCACATCACATTGCCCCCTTATATGAGATGTCCCTATCTGATTCCCCCCCCCCCTTACATTAGGTGTCCACATGAGACTACCCCCCTACATACAACCAGTTATCCCCATCAAAGTGCCCCTCACATCAGATGTCCCCACCAGAGTGCCCCCTTGCATCAGTTCCCCCATCCGAGCCCCCCCTTTACATTAAGTTCCCCATCATAGCCCCCCTTACATATGAACAGTTATCCCCATCAGAGTGCCCCCTTACATTAACTGTCTGCATCAGACTGGGGGGGAACAGCTAAAATCTGGGGGGGGGCACAGCCCACCTCAGCACCCCCCTAGATCCGGCCCTGCCACTAAGCCAGGGGTCTAGAATCTGTTCGTATGATAATTACATTGTATATTGAACAAATATTCATGGCCTGAAAAATCAGTCGTCGTCCCCCCCCCCCTTTCACATCAGAAGTTCTCCCATTACATCAGAACCTCACTTCCATCAGAGTCACCCTGTCATCAGTCACCCTTTCACATCAGTTATCCCTTTAACATCAGAGCCCCCCTCTTCATATCAGAGTCCATTTTATCATCAGAGCCCCCCCCCCCGTTCAGATCAAGTTCCCCTTTCAAATCAGAACCCCCCCCCCCCACATTCTCATCTAGTTCCCTTTTACATTAGAGCCCCTTATCACATCGGAGCCCCCCCCCCGTTCTCATCAGAACCCTCCGTTCACATCAGAGTCTCCCCACCACATCATAAACCACTATCAGATCAGAGTTTCTGCGCGTCAAATAAAATCTTGTATCGGCCTGGATGTGGCCCTTGGGCTATAGTTTGGAGACCCCAGTACTAAGCTATAACAGAACCCCTACAGATGACGGACGTCAGATGGGAATGCCAACCTATGGAGGAAGGACTACAAGCTCTAAACATTTTCCTGGCATGGTCTGGTTGCCAGGAGCACTACAATACCACAAGCTGAAAGCATGTTTGTGCCACATATTATATCCACTTTTGCATCAGAGCCCTCTTTTCACATCAGAGTCCCCCTTTCACATCGGAACCCCCCCTCCCTTTCACATCAGAGTCCCCTCACATCACAACCTCCTGCACATCAGAGTCCCCCTTTTACATCACAACCTCCTTCACATCAGAGCCCCCCCTGCACACCAGAGTCCACTTTCACATTAGAGTCCCCTTTTTACATTAGAGCCCTTCCTTCATATCAGAAGCCGCCATTCCCATAAGAGTCCCCCTCTTTACATCACAGCCCCCTTTCACATCAGAGCCCCCTGTTCACATTATAATCCCCCTTTCACATCAAAACCCCCATTCTCATCTAGTTCCCCATTCACATCTGAAGCCCCCCTTCACATTAGAGTCCCCCTATTCACCTTAGAGACCCCTTCACATCAGAGCCCCCCTTCACATCAGAGCCCTCATTCACATCAGAACTCCCTCATTCACATCTAGTTCCCCAGTTGACAACAGGGCCCCCCCCTTTCACATCCAAGCCCTCCCCATCACATCAGAGTCCCCATTTCACATGAGAACTCCCTCATTCACATCTAGTTCCCTATTCACACCAGCCCCCCCCCCCCTTTCACATCAGAGCCCCCCCCATGCACATCAGAGTCCACTTTCACATTAGAGTCCCATTTTTACATCAGAGCACTTCCTTCACATCAGAGCCCCATGTTCAGATCATAATCCCCCTTTCACATCAAAACCCCCTATTCTCATCTAGTTTCCTTTTTACATGAGAGCCCCCCTTCACATTAGAGTCCTCCTCTTCACCTCAGAGACCCCTTCACATCAGGGCCCCCCTTCTCATCAGAGTCCCCCTCTTCACCTCAGAGACCCCTTCACATCAGAGCCCCCCTTCTCCTCAGAGTCCCCATTCACATCAGAAATCCCTCATTCACATATAGATCCCCAATTAACAGGGCCCTCCCTTTCACATCAGAGCCCTCCCCATCACATCAGAGTCCCCATTTCACACGAGAATCCCTCCCATCACATCAGCGTCTCCCCATCACATCAGAGTTGCTGCAGGCAAGGTAAAATCTTATATCGGGCTGGATGTGGCCCTAGGGCCATAGTTTGGAGACCCCAGTACTTAGCTATAACACCTACAGATAAAGGACGTCGGATGGGAATGCCAACCTATGGCGGAGGGACTACAAGCGCTATACATTTTCCCGGCGCGGTCTGGCTGACACGAGCCACAACTGCAATATTACAAGCTGAAAGGATTCTGTGCCACATATGAGAAAACTATGAAGTGTGTCATAGAATAAAATGTGATTTTGCCAGGTGCAAACGACAAACTAGAGTAACCCATGTCAGCCAATCAATATTCACCTTTCATCATTCTCAGCGCCAGACTATACTGTCCTGGGTAATGATGAGGACAAGCTAAACGTCCGGGTGGAATCCAAACGCATGGCTGCCAGCATTATAGATATGTGGGGACGCTGGTGCTCAGCTGTTGTATCTGAGCTCTTCATGTTCAGGGCTGTGCGGCAGGTCCCAGGGTTACTACATGTTCCATTATGACATGTTTACAATATATATATATTTCATTCATATTTTATGGTGCCAACAAATTCTACAGTGCTCTATTAACGATACCAACCATCTGCATTGCTCCCTGCTCCTGAAGAGCTTACAATCTAACAGTCACACACGAGTGCTATTTTGGGTGGAAGTCAAGAAGTCAATTAACCCACCGGAGGGTTTTTAGAGCGTGGGATAAAACTTACGCCAACAGAGGGAGAACATAAAACTCCAAGCAGATGATGTCGGGAACTGAACCCACCACCCCAGCTCTGCAAGACAAGAGTGCTGACTTAGCGGTTGCGCTGCCCAGTCTACAGACAGATGTCGGCTATTTAAAATATAAATAGATATTACGTTTTCAAAGCGGGGAGGTTAGGGTCCAGCTGATCAGAACCAACGCTTCCAGGGACCGTCCCATGAAATGGGGGAGCCAGAGCTGGTTGCTAACAGTTACAGCCTTTTTTCACGCCATCATCGCTCTTTACGCCGCCCTATTATATAATCAATGTGCCGTAATAATGCAGCAACCAAAAAAAAAAAAAAAAAACGAATGCAAGCAATAAAAATCTGCAGCAGTCGGCGTACCTGTACGGTGGGGTTCTCCAGAACATCCATGTGGATCTCCTGTGAGGTTGAAGGAGTCTTGGACATGTTGTTTTGGACCATTGGTGATGGAAAGTATCCCTCAACCGGGGAGGTGAATGGATGGAAATAAGGCAGAAGGGACGGCAAGCTTTTTTCGTAGCGGAGAGCCCGGGTATGGTCAAATTGCCTGATATGGTATCATGGTCCTAGGATGGCTGCTGGCTTTCCTCTGCGATCTCCGCTCATCCACTTCACTCTGCTGTGACTTGCGCTGAGAGCAGCTGCAGCTGAGCCACCTCCCCAGCAGGCTGAGAAGAAGGAGGAGGAGGAGAGGCCAGCCTCACATACATATTACACACAGACAGAGCGCTGAGCTGACACCAGCTGGGGGGCCACGCTGAGCCCAGGTGTCACACAGCCCCCTAGCACCTGCCACTAGCACCCCCGAATCCTTCCCCCATCACTCTATTCTGCATGACTGTCCTCCCATGTAGCTCCTCGCAAATCTATCACGCTCTAACCATACAGCTTTTAAAGTGTATCTCTAGGCAAAACCTTTTTTTTTTCTGCTTTAGAAGGATTAGACCCTCAGCCTGGGTTCACATATATGCAGTGCGGTATATCGCATGTGTTTCGTACCGGAACCGCACGGCAATTCACATGCGATTTGTGTGCGGTGCGACTGGAGCCATACATTTGGTATGTCTCTAATCGCACCGCACCCTCACCAAAAACGTGCAGGACCCTTTTTTTGGGTCCGCACTAGAATCGGATCGCATGGGTACTCACACATCTGCACATCAAACTGCATTTTGCAGACTGCTTTTGGACTGCGCATGTGTGGACTGAGCATGCTTTTGGACTGCGCATGTGTGGACTGCTTTTGGACTGCGCATGTGTGGACTGCTTTTGGACTGCGCATGTGTTTCATACGGAACCGCACGGCATTCCTGTGCAATTTGCATGCGATTTGTGTGCGGTGCGACTGGAGCCATACATTTGGTATGGCTCTAATCGCACCGCACCCACACCAAAAACGTGCAGGACCCTTTTTTTGGGTCCGCACTAGAATCGGATCGCATGGGTACTCACACATCTGAACATCAAACCACGTTTTGCGGACTGCTTTTGGGGTGTTAACCTAAAGCGGAGTTCCACCTAAAAAAAAAAAAAGTCAGCAGCTACAAAAACTGCACAAACAACTATAGTGCAGCGCTCTGATACCCTCCAACCCTCCAACAAATATATAGTCAAATAAGATGCAAAATGTGCCACAGAAAATGATAAATGTATCACATGACCAAATCTTGGTGCTCAATATACAGTGAATAATGCAAGAACTAGAACTCATGTGACAACTATATGATAAAAAATACGAACCCTATACAGGTGTATTAAGTGATGAAGTGAAACAAACGTGATCAAACACAACATAAATCCAAAACAATGTCCATAAACCTGTGCTTCAGAAACCATGCAATATAGTGTGGTAAAGGTAGCTGTGAATGTGTCAGCACACTCAGATCCTCAAATGGCTCGATTGCCTCCTCACCTCCCTTCTGAGACCCAACGGGCCACTTCACTTTCAGGATTTCCCAGGATCCTACTCCAACTGTGGCAGGTGATTCTGGGACCTGTGGTTCCTCTCCAAATGAAACCAGGCTTCACAGGAAGGACTTCTGTTAAAAATATCTCACACCCAATGTAAAGCCTCAATGCAGAACTGAAAAAAGATCTGTGCATCGAAAACTGTAGCTGCTGACTTAAAATACAGACACTTACCTGTCCCTTGGTCCAGCCGTGTCTTCACCACCGCTGGTTTCTCCGGCCGTCTTCTCCTCCCGATGCCGGCATCTTCAGTGTGGGCACCCGGCTGTGATAGCTTGCGGCTTCACAGCTGGGTGCCCACTGTGCATGTGCAAGAAGCGCTGCGCTTTCTGAATGGCCCCGTAGTCTTCTGGGACCTGTCACGTGTCCCTGAAGACTACAGGGAGGGAGGGGGGGAAGACAACTTCCGCTTCCGATCGCCTAGGTGGGTACCTGTCAAATTTGGATCCCCCCCTCCACTACCCAAAGGTGCCAATCCTGAATGGGGAGCGGGGGACAAAGGCTTAAAGCGCAACTTCCCCTTTTGGGTGGAGCTCCGCTTTAAATTAGAACTATAGGCAATACTTTTTTTACCTAGGCGATCGCAGCGGAAGTGGGAGCGGGTACCTGTCAAATTCGGGTACCCGCTCCCACCCCCACTCCCCAAAGGTGCCAATCCTTAATAGGAAGCGGGGGACAAAGACTTAGGCTACATTCACACTAGCGTTGTGTGCAGGCGGGAGAGAGGCACTTGGGAAGCGTTTTTACTGCTTCCCAAACCCTCGGACAATTCTGCACATTACAGCACATGGTGCTGTTCTAACAGGAGCGTTTGCGTTGCGGCAAAATGGACGCCTCTGGTCGAGTCAGGAGGCGTTGAAGCCTCCTATTCTAGTCTATGGTGCCGCTCCGCAAATGCCCGGCCGGCGTTTGTGGTGCGGTTGCGACGCGGTTGCGGGGCGTTTGCGGAGCGGTAACACCATTCAAACTGCATTATAGGCGTTTGTGGGGCGTTTTTAACTCGGCAAACGCCTAGCAACCGCTGCTAAACAGCGCATGCGGAGCGTTTGCCGAGCGTTAAAAACGCTCCGCAAACGCCGGACCAACGCTTGCCAAACGCTCTAGGGACGTTTGGCAAGCGTTGGTAAAACAGCCAAGTGTGAACGAGCCCTTAAAGCGGAACTTCCCCTTTTGGGTGGAGCTCCACTTTAACATATTTACCCTCAACGGTTTGCATGAACGGGGTGCGATCCTGATGCACTGTGGAATTCGCACTGAAAACGCTGCAAATTCTGAACCGCATCAGTGTGAACCCAGGGCCCAGTTACGGTTTTATTCCTATGCATACAAAGAGAGGCACTTGATCTGCTGTTATTGACAATACACACGTCAATAAATGATTTATTTTCTGATCGACCTTTTATATACTTCGAATAATCGATCTATAGTCGACAAACCTTTTGATCCTTATGCCACATACAGGGAATCGATAGGTAAGATGCGATTGTAACTTGTGATTGCAAGTTATCGATTGCTTCTTTGTTTCCACTATGTAATCTTATTAACTGGTCAATGGAAATATGATCACATTCATGAAAAAAGCATTTCAATGCTGCTGATGGATGCAAAATGATCGATAAAATTCTGCCCTGACCAATAGACTAAGGGCTCTTTCACACTTGACTGTTTTACCAACGCTTGCCAAACGCCCCTATAGCGTTTGGCAAGCGTTGGTCTGGCGTTTGCGGAGCTTGGCAATCACTCTGCAAACACCGCATGCGCGGTTTAGCAGCGGTTGCTAGGCATTTGCCGAGCGTTAAAAACACCCCACAAATGCCTATAATGAAGTTTGAATGGTGTTACCGCTCCGCAAACGCGTCGCAACCGCACTGCAAACACCGGCCGGCGACACCATAGACTAGAATAGGAGGCTTCAACGCCTCCTGACTCAACCAGAGGTGTCTGCTTTGCCGCGACGCTAACGCTCCCGTTAGAACAGCACCATGTGCTGCAATGTGCAGAATTGTCCGAGGCGTTTGGGAAGCGGTAAAAAAAAACGTTTCCCAAACTCCTCTCTGCTGCCTGCACACAACGCTAGTGTGAACGTAGCCTTAGTTTGATGGAATTTTATCAAAATTGAATCTAAGCCTGGTTCACATATATGTGGTGCGGTACAACACATGTGATTCACACAGGAACCGCACCGCATTCCTGTGCAAATCACATGCGCTTTGTGTGCGGTGCGATTGGAGCCACACATTTTGTATTGCTCTGTTGACACTGCACCTGCACCAAAAATGTGCAGGACCCTTTTTTGGGATCGCACTAGAATCGAATCGCACCGCGTTTTGCGGACCGATTTCGGGGTGTTGTTAACTTAACATACACACACGCATGAATGGGGTGCGATTCTGATGCCGTGCGGAATTCGTACAGAAAACGCTGTGAATTTTGCACCGCATTAGTGTGAACCAGGGCTGAAGCTGGCCATGGATGGATTGAAATTCGGCCAGGTCAGCGGGGATCAGCATAGATTCCATCCATGTATGGGCAGGCTGATTATACCCAAGTCAATCTATCGATCGATTGGATACAACCAGCCTGTTGATTTTTTATATACGATTAATGCCAGAAGCTATAGCCGCCAGCAGTAATCATTGTGTTTTGCCTGCCGGGAAGGTTCCCTGCGCCCCCTTCCCACTGCCGGGAGAACACAATATTTCTGCGGGAGGCATTCCCCCATCAACACTGACTGCGTTGATGGGGTAATCAAAGGATTTTCTTTCCATCCACCCCTGGTGGAAGGAATGGAAATAGACTCATCTATGGGCTGCCTAAATCGATTGGAAGGGAAACTATGGCTATTCGACTGTTTTCAGATTTGATCGTTTTGATCGAATAGCACACTGAGTATGTATGGCCACTATTAGAGAGGACCATCTAAGGGCTGGTTTACACTTGAGGTTGGGGTGAAAGGGGGGGGGGCTAAATTCAGGAGGATGAACTGCCCCCTGCCCTCAATTGGCCACCTGGTCACTAAAGACACAGCCACTCGTATACATGCCACAGCCTCAATGCTGAGCTTCAGCAAAACTTACATGGCATGTTGCCAGGGGCGGGCTGACAACTCATGGGGCCCCCGGGCAATAGGGGATCATGGGGCCCCTGTGTCCTTGCCCAAACTCAAAAAAGCCTATGAAAAAGGTACCAGGGGCATCTCATGGGGCCCCCTACTGATCCCAGGCCCTCGGGCAATGACCAAGTTTCCAAATTGTCAGTCCTCCCCTGCATGTTGCTTTCTTTCCATGGGTGGTGCTGTCCACTGAATGCAACTAATGCAGTTCTATGAAGCCACGCCAGAACCACAACACAACTGTGGAATGTACGCAATTGCGGCATGGTTGTACGGCAATGATCGGGATAAATCAGATAGTAAGGAGGCAGCATATCGCCTTCTCGCCTTCTCACTGTCTGTCAAAAACCTTGGAAAAGTGATCAGAGCTTGGACTGCTTTGCAGAGGAGTGGCAGTGCCTGCTGTACTTGTGAAGGAGCCCTAAGGATCACCATACACGTTCTGACCTTACAATCTACATACAATTAACTTCATATTGACCAAAATGATGTCATATGAGGACTCACCTATAGTATCTGATCAAGCTGTATGCAATCAGGCAAGCTCTTCTACGAGATCCTAGTTGGAAGATCTAAAAGAAATTGTTCAGTAAGATTGTAACTTGTGTGGTGAGCTCAGAGGAGATCTCTGGTCACAGCATACACTTTCATTTTACATCATCAGCATTGTAATAACATAAACATTAGCTGTATTTGACAATTCGATGCTGCCAGTCTGCTGCCATTTCTTTCCACAACTTCCTGCTTTCTGCAGTTGCTCCTCTATTTCTAAGGACTACATGTCCTATGGTACTTTGCTGCCTTAAGCAGTGATTCCTGTACTGACCCCGCCTCCTGAAACCCCTCCCCTCAGCTCCTATGTCGTTCAGAAGGTAGGCTCTGTGAAATGTGTGACACAGCAGTGCTACTCACAGGGCGTAGTGACTACAGGGCACAGAATTCAAGGAAGTAAGTGTGTGGGGGTCTTCACAAAGTAAGTTTACAAACCTCAAGAAATTACTGAAATACAATGTGGAGATGGAATATATGTGTCTACATCTTGGCCATAGATGTGCTTTAAAGTGTTACTAAACCCAAAACTGTAAAATCAGTCTATATATGCAGTAAAGCATGCTTGTTATATTCACTGTGGAACCTAAGGGGTTAATCATCTGCATTGTGTAAAAAGTATGTTTGATCCTGACTTCTCTGATCCTCCCCTTCTTCCACTGTCTCTGACTCATCTGATAGAAAAGAGCCTTGGGGGCAAGCTGCATATGCTCAGCTTGGTGTGTATTGCTAGAGAGGTTTTTTTGCAGCCTCATAGGACAATCAGATGAGAATGAAAACTCCTCCCATAAGCGTTAACCAATTCTCTGCTGGACACTGATATATGTCACAAGACTGCTATATACTGCTGATGAGAAAAGGTATTTAGCAATTTATATTTGATACAATAATTGCATTTCCATGTTGTGTGTACTGTGGGAGACCAGATATAGTGAATTCAGGGTGCTGGGGGACCAGATATAGTCGATGCCAGGTCCTGGGAGACCAGATATAGTGAATGCAGGGTCCTGGGAGACCAAATATAGTGAATGCTGGGTCTGGGGAGACCAGATATAGTGAATGCTGGGTCCTGGGAGACCAGATATAGTGAATGCAGGGTCGGGGGAGACCAGATATTGTGAATGCGGGGTCCAGGGAGACCAGATATAGTGGGGTCCGGAGACCGGATATAATGAATGCGGGTCCGGGGAGACCAGATATAGTGAATGCAGGGTCCGGGGAGACCAGATATAGTAGATGCAGGGTCCTGGGAGACCAGATATAGTGAATGCAGGGTCCGGGGAGACCGATATAGTGAATGCAGGGTCCGGGGAGACCGGATATAGTGAATGCAGGGTCCGGGAGACCAGATATAGTGAATGCAGGGTCCGGGGAGACCGGATATAGTGAATGCAGGGTCTGGGGAGACCAGATATAGTGGATGCAGGGTCCGGGGAGACCAGATATAGTGAATGCAGGGTCCGGGGAGACCAGATATAGTGAATGCAGGGTCCGGGGAGACTGGATATAGTGAATGCAGGGTCCGGGGAGACCAGATATAGTGAATGCAGGGCCCGTTGTTTAGTAACACTTTTAGGCCTCTTGCACACATGTTATAGCGTGCCTGGAAGGGGCGAGTGAAGCGTCCAGCCCTATAGCCTGTAGCCTGTCAAAGTCCATGGCAGGCTGAGTAGGGCTGAATCCTCTTCAGAGGGGTACCCACACTTAATCCCCTATGCATTCAGGGACGAATACACTTTAGTCTAGGTTCACACCTAAGCATTTTCCGTTACGTTTTGCCGAAACGCACAGCAGTCCATTTAGCATGATTTCCTATGGGACAGGTTCACATCTCCGCGTTTTCACCCAGTGCGTTTTTTTTAAAGGGTCAGGGACTTTTTTAAATGCAAAATGTTGCGTTTTTGGTTCTATTGACTTCAGTAAAGACGCTGCAGAAAAGCATGTAGTGTGTTTTTGATGTGTTTTGCATTTTAATCTGCCCAGCAACAAGTTGAAAAAGAAATGCAAAACGTGGCAAAAATGCATGTGCAAAAATGTAAAATGCACCACAAAAAGCACTGCAGAAATGGATGAAACGCAAACTGCATAGGTGTGAACCTAGCCTTAGGGCTCATTCACACTTGACTGTTTTACCAACGCTTGCCAAACACCCCTATAGTGTTTAGCAAGCATTGGTCCAGTGTTTGTGGAGCGTTTTGTAACGCCGCATGCGCGGTTTAGCGGCAGTTGCTAGGCGTTTGCCGAGCGTCAAAAACGCTTCGCAAATGCCTATAATGAAGTTTAAATGGTGTTACCGCTCCGCAAATGCCCCGCAACCGCGTCACAATTGCACCGCAAACGCCGGAGGGCGTTTGCGGAGCGGCACCATAGGCTAGAATAGAAGGCTTCAACGCCTCCTGACTTGACCAGAGGCGTCCGTTTTGCCGTGACACTAACGCTCCCGTTAGAACAGCACCATGTGCTGCAATGTGCAGAATTGTCAGAGGCGTTTGGGAAGCGGTAAAAAAACGCTTCCCAAACGCCTCTCTGCTGCCTGCACACAACGCTAGTGTGAACGTAGCCTTCCAGTCATTCGTCCCTGAATGTATAGGATTCTACATGCAGATACAGTGTTCAGTCTATTGACAGGCTGCAGGCAGCAAGGCCGGGTGTGGCACCTGTCCCTCCCAAGCGCCCTCAAATCCCGGGTAGGAAAGCACTGCAGCTAGACTTCTCTGTTCAAGGGGCTTAAATAAAGTACAACTATTGGCAAAACTTTTTTTTTCATTTTGGATAAGGGAGGGTTATACCCCTGTCAGATTTTTTGGGGGGGTTTTTTGTGTTCCATTGCGGAGATTTCCCTTCACTTCCTGTCCCATAGCCAAAACAGGAAGTGAGAGGAACGCCTGCAAATTAAGGGAATTCACCAGATCTAGTGTCCCCATTGGAAGATTTACATTTCTGGGGACAACCCAAACTTTGGGATTTTCTTTTACTTTCACTTTAAGGGTCGGTTCACACTATAGAAACACAGTCCAGATGCGTTCCGGATGCATTTCTTCATGCGCGTTTTTGACATGTTCTGGTGCATTTTTTACACTTTCCTGTGCATGTTTGATGCATTTTTTACGCTTTCCTGTGCATGTTTGATGCACTTTTGATGTGTTACAGTTCATTTTTTCCCCTCTCTTTTTCTTCAATTTAAATGGGGACATGTGCATTCAAGTGCGTTTTTGTGCTTTCTGGTGCATTTTTTGTGTGTTTTACCGCGTTCCAGTACAGTTCTGTGCAGGAAAAATGCAACCTGTTCTACTTTTTTTTCTGCAAACGGAACGCAAGAACTGATGTGAACTATGACATTGCAAACCATATAACCTACTTTCTGTGCATTTTGGATGCAGAAAAAAAGCAACTGAAACGCATGGAGTGTGAACTGGCCCTAAATGATAATGGTAAACAGGACAAACAGAGTGGATGAATCTCCCCAATGGGGGCACAGACAGCAATAATAACCTGACACGGGGTCTAATCCATCTCCATTAAAAAAAGTTTTGCTTTTAGTTATACTCTAAGTTAAAGTAGTGTACATCACACCATACTGCAGACACCTCCAAGGAAACCCTATGGAATGGGTAGGTGCACAAAGAGGAACTTCCCTCACCCCACACACACACACACACACACACCCATTTATTTTCTTTTTTATCCACTCTCAGACCTCTTTCACTTGGGCGTTCCATTTGCCCGTTTTTCAGCTGTCCGTTTACGGATGAAAAACGGACCCCCATGTATTTCTGTGGACTTAGGGATGTAATAGGATGAACATCTTTTTACATCCGTTAATGTCCGCATCTGTTAACATCTGTATTTTTTTGAGAGCGGAAGAAAACGGATGTAGACGGATGAAAACGGATGTAAACGGATTTAAAAGGCTGTAAACCAATGTAAATGGATGAAAAAACGGATGAAAAAACAGAGGGAAAAATGGATGTTAATGGACCTAAAACGGATGTAGACGAATGAAAACGGATGTAAACAGATCTAAATGGATGTAAACCAATGTAAATGGATGAATAAAACTGATGAAAAAAAAACCTGATGAAAAAACGGAATGTAAATGGATAAAAACCGGATGTAAGCGGACCAAAACGGCTGTAGACGAATTAAAATGGATGTAAACGGATGTAAACCAATGTAAACGGATGAAAAAACAGATGTAAACGGATGAAAAAACAGATGTAAACTCATCCAATTTTTCTTTGAAAAAACGTGACTGAACTGAAGAAAAAAAACAGAACGCCGCGTGTGAAAGGACACTTACCCAATGATGCTTTGTCCTCAAATCACATATATATTCACAGTCCTGCTACAATCTGCTTCTCTACTCCCAGCACCTAGGTGCCGTGCCGCCATCTTGTCCTGTGACGTCATTGGGAGGTGGCTGTCTCTTCTAGGTTTCGGCAGCTGTACCCCCATTGATGAACAGCCAGGCTTGTCCTCCTCCTCTTTCCATGAATGGAAGTCGATACCTCCTGGGATACTTGATGTACATATATCCCATGAGGCTTCAAGAGCACAACACGTCATTCATACCTAATCAAGAATGGAGGATGGAAGAAACAAAGGGAACAGACACAAAAAAGTATGGAGATCTTCATTGTGTGTGTGTGGAGTGGGGGAACGTGTCAGTGTCAGCAAGTCTTGGACATTGGAGGACCGGCAGGCTGTGCTCCCATCACTAGTCCCCGCGGCCTCTTCTCTCCAATGCTGCAGAGTTTGCAGGTCCTCTGACATCATTGAGTCCAATTCAGTGCCTATACCTCTGCATTGGACATGAGAAGGCAGTGGAACAGTCCACTTCTGGAGCATAGGGGAGTGCCAACTGCTGCAGGACAGGAGGATCAGGTAAGTAAACCTGCCTTTCTTGTTTCCTCTAGACCAAAATAAGTGATTATCCCTTGTTGTGTGGGGGAGCCCCAAAACAAGGGAGCATTTTTATTCTTACTGGAGTTGGCCTGTAAGCTAGCCATACACCAGTAGAATTTTGTTAAAACATTTCCATTTACGAAATATTCGTTCGATTTTCTACTGGTTAGGCCAAATTGGTGGTCATTATCAGCTGTAGTGATGTGAAAATTCAAAGGAGCAGTGCGGAATTTTTTTTTCTCAAATTAACAACATTCTAAATGTGAATGTGGTTTTTTATTCGGGAAACAATCGTACATAATGTAATGTGTGTGTTCTGGGTACAAAGGAATCCCTCATTCCTATGGTCATACAGATCTGTACACCCATTTGAAGGGCCATCCATCTTCAGCCATCCGGGATGCACAAGTGTTCTTAGTACAGGTGATTTTGGAAGACATCCTAGCTCATCTCTACTGCTATCCATCATCGCTGGGACTGAAAGTCTCATTCAAAAGATTTAATTAAAAAACCATATACGCTGTTAGACAATCGTTCGTTCGAGAAAAATTTTCCATCTTGTTCCTTCGACTTTTCTCATCACTGCAGTTGGAAATGAACTTTGAAATTAGAAAAGTGAACAAATTTTCTTAGAACATTCTCTTAGAAATGCTACCCATCTATGACCAGTTTGACCATAGATAACTCATTTTTTTTCAGTCAGCCAGCAGGCTGATCAGATACAAAACAAATGGATTCCCCCATCCACACAAACAGGGGTGGACTGACAACTCATGGGGCCCCCAGACAATAGGGGGATCATGGGGCCCCTGTGTCCTTGCCCAAACTCATAAAAGCCTATGAAAAAGGTACCAGGGGTATCTCATGGTGCCCCCTACTGACCCCGGGCCCTTGGGCAGTGCCCAAGTTTCCAAATGGTCAGTCCGCCCCTGTACACAAATGAGGTAGGTGCAGGAATTCCCTCCACTGGCACATTGCATTTTAACAGCTGTACTCTTGCACTGTTGGAATACACTGATCAGTGGCTGCAGTCTCTGATCAACAAAAGTTTTCCAACACTCTTGTTGAGCAGAAGTCAATTGCTAGTGGGAACGACCATACATGGATTGAAATTTGGCCAGTCCCTGCTGCTCAATTTATCTATGCCCAGCTTAACAACTTTACAGCTTCCCCAGGCTCAGCAACATACATATACATTGCTGAGCACAAGCGAACTGGTGCTCCCATTGGGGCATGCAGTGCGCAACTCCTTTGACCACTCCTGTGACTACAGCGGATTATGTTTCCCAGTACTCTGCTGCTTTGAACATCCGGGGTATCACGTGCTAACAAAGTCAACAAAACTGTTCTGAATGAATTTCATTCATAACAACTGTGCTTCCTATAGTGATGCTGTGATTGGCCTACAGCTATCACATGGTAGTTGGGCCAATCACAGCACCCTGTGCTATGTGATAGCTGTGGGCCACTGTTGCGCAGTCATGTTGGAACAGGAGGGGGTCATCCCCAAACTGTTCCCACAAAGTTGGGAGTATGAAATTGTCCAAAATGCCTTTAAGAGTTCCCTTTATTGGAACTAAGGGGCCAAGCCCAACCCCTGAAGAACAACCCCACACCATAATCCCCCCTCCACCAAACTTTACGCCTGCCACAATGCAGTCAGGCAAGTACCGTTCTGGCAACCGCCAAACCCAGACACATCCATCGGATTGCCAGACAGGGAAGCATGATTGGTCACTCCAGAGAACACGTCTCCACTGCTCTAGAGTCCAGTGGCGGCGTGCTTTACACCACTGCATCTGACTCTTTGCATTGCACTTGGTGATGTAAGGCTTGGATGCAGCTGCTCGGCCATGGAAACCCATTCCATGAAGCTCTCTATGCACTGTTGTGCTAATCTGAAGGCCACACAAAGTTCAGAGGTCTTTAGCTATTGACTCTGCAGACAGTTGGTGATTTCTGCGCTGACCCCGCTCTGTCATGTTACGTGGCCTACCACTTCATGGCTGAGTTGCTGTTGTTCCCAGTTGCTTCCACTTTGTTATAATACCACTAACAGTTAAGCGTGGAATATTTAGTAGCCAGGAAATGTCACGGATGGACTTATTGCACAGGTGACAACCTATCACAGTACCACGCTTGAAGTCACTGAGCTCCTGACAGCGACCCATTCTTTCACAAATGTTTGTAGAAGCAGTCTGCATGCCTAGGGACTTGATTTTATACACCTGTGGCCATGGAGGTGATTGGAACACCTGAATCCAATGATTTGGAGGGGGGACCAATACTTTTGGCAATATAGTGTATGAAGAAATGTAATCTTGTAGAATATTTCTTTATTACAGGTACTTATATAGCGCCATCAATTTACGCAGTGCTTTACATATATATTGCACATTCACATCAGTCCCTGACCCTCAAGGGGCGTACAATATAAGGTCCCTAACTCACATTCAAACATACTACGGCCAATTTGGATAGGAATCAATTAACCTACCAGCATGTCTTTGGATTGTGAGAGAGGAAACCGGAGTACCTGGAGGAAACCCACGCAGGCACAGGGAGAACATGCAAACTCCAGGCAGGTGGTGCCATGGTTGGGATTTGAACCAACAACCCTGGTACTGCCAGGCAGAAGTGCTAACCACTTAGTCACTGTGCTGTCCTATGTTTAAGAATATGTTTAATAACAGAAAGTAGAAAATATTGGGGTTTTTTTTTTCAAAATTTTGGGTCTTTTTTTTGTTTATATAGCAAAAAATTAAAAATGTCATTGGTGATCAAATATCGCCAAAAATAATCTCTATTTGTGTGAAAAAATTATATAAATTTCAGTGTTGCATGACCGCATAATTACCAGTTAAAAGTAACACAATTCCCTACTCCGTCCAACATGGGAAAAAAAAAAAAGATTTGTCATTAGATTTTATTAAAGGGGCATAATACCTAGAAGATGTGAGGATGACCCTGATCTAGCACAGACCCCCTCAGGGTGTCATCATCTGTAGGAGTTTTTTTTCACATTTCAACAAAACAAAGAGCGAAGTGTTTAAAGTGCGGCTCGGGTGCACTGCGCCAGAGGTCATGTTCGCGGCATAAATCACTTGGAGAGGAACCACTGGGATATGTTGCAACACCCGCGTGTTATTAAATAAACAGACAGGCACGGGGCACTTGCAGGATGGGGCCATGATTGATGGTGCTGAGAGTAGTTTTCAAAACGAAAGTGCTGCATTTATCCAGCTGCAGCTGAAAGTTCCAGATTATTCCAGAGACAAACTTTTCATACAATCAAAAGGAATTGCAGAAGCAGCCTATGCAAACGGCAAGAGACAACAGCACCTGTAGGAAAGATACAAACATGGGTGGGGGGAAGTAAATGAAGACAGAGACGCTGGTAGCAACTGAACTCAGGACTCCAGCGCTGCAATACAGGAGCACTAGATACTAACAACCTTGAGTAGGCATAGATTGTGTGTGGTTTAACCCAGGGGCGGACTGACAACACATGGGGCCCCCGGGCAATAGGGGATCATGGGGCCCCTGTGTCCTTGCCCGCACTCAAAGCACACCCAAAAAAGCCTATTAAAAGGTACCAGGGGCATTTCATGGGGCCCCCTACTGACCCCAGGCCCTCGGGCAGTGCCCAAGTGCTTGAATGGTCAGTCCTGGTTTAACCACTTGTCCACTGGGCATTTTTAAATACTTTTTGCACACACGTGATCAGAGACTTTTTTATTTAGCAGCAGATTGTGTTTTTTGAGCAAAGGACTTCAATGGAACCATACCAAAAAACGAAAGTGTTGCGTTTTGAATGCATTTTTTTTTTCTTTTTGCCATTTTGAAAGTATTGACTTTGATGTGCCTTTAGATGAGTGTGACTTTGATGCAACCTTTTTTTTTTAAAAAAAACTAAAAAATTCTTCCTGCGCCAAGTTAAACACCTTACTACAGGATCTATCCTGCTGCTGTGCAATGTGGTGAACACAAAATGTGATAAATATAAATAAACAGCGCAAACATAGACCTTTAAATCAAATCAATATACAAAGTGCAAACATATATAAAAAAATGATATTAATAGTGAAGTCCATCATGGTTAGTAGACAACAAAAGTTCAGAAATCTCAAAAAAATATTTTGTGCAAAAAAAATTTTCAAATTCTTCTTCTAATGTAAAGAAAAAATCTTCCACCTTCCACCCGTGCAAACCAACATCAAATGCACTCACCAGATTTAGGTGAATGAAACGCCTTTTAGGAATTTATATGGGATCCTAAACCCTCTTCCGTATCCACTCTATAGGAATCCTCACCTTCAGTGTAGGCTCCACCATACAACCGGGGAGAGAAAAATCTCAGATAGTGTAATATTGCAAAATACCATTTATGAATAAAATCAAGGATTAAGGCCACTCACATTTTAAATCACTTTAAAAAGGCATATTTATTAGGACAAGCTTCTTCCAGATGGACAATGAATGTAAGACAACCTCCCATGGAATCTCACATCACAGCTCCAGGATACAGCAGAAGTTCCACAGAGACCAAACATACACAGATCCCAAAAGATGGCCGCTGGAACGCACCGCTCAGCGTGCGCTCCACTCACCGGAAGTGACGTCAGACGTACGGGGTAACAACCGGAAATGCGTCAACGCATTTCGCCCCTCCCATCGGGCGTTCTCAAGACCTTTTTTTTTTTGCTAATAGTAAGTCGCATCAAAATCAGTATTTTTCTATTGCGTTTTCAAAAACGCACTGGAAAAACACATCAATCGCAATGTTTGGAGGTGTGAAAAAAAGCAGGTTGTGTTTTTTGAGCAATAGACTTCAATGGAACCACACCAAAAACAAAAGTGTTGCGTTTTTGATTGATTTTTTTTTTTTTTTTGTAATTTGGAATGTATTGACTTGATGCGACTTTGATGTGCCTTTAGATGAGTGTGACTTTGATGCAACCTTTTTTTTTTTTTTTGCTAATAGGAAAGTATGACAGTTCTGTTCATGTAGTAGGACTTTGATGCGACTTTACACTTTCTGGCAGTCAAGTAGCATGAAGTACATGAACATCAACGCTGCACTACATGAACAAAACTGTCATACTTTCTTATTAGCGAAAAAAAAAAGTGACATCATACCCATCCAAAGCTGCATCAAAGTCGCATCAAAATCAATATTTTTCTATTGGCAAAACATTTGATCAAAAAGCCAAAATGCACTGGAAAAACGCATCAATCGCAACATGCAGAGGTGTGAAAAAAAAAGATTGCGTTTTTTGAACAATAGACTTCAGTGGAACCGCACCAAAAACTAAAGTGTTGCGTTTTTGATGCATTTTTTTTTTTTGACATTGGGAAAGTATTGACTTTGATGTGACTTTAGATGAGTGTGACTTTGATGCAACCTTTTTTTTTTTTCTAATAGGAAAGTATGACAGTTCTGTTCATGTAGTACGACTTTGATGCGACTTTACACTTTCTGGCACTCAAGTAGCATGAAGTACATGAACATCAACGCTGCACTACATGAACAAAACTGTCATACTTTCTTATTAGCGAAAAAAAAAAGTGGCATCGACATCATACCCATCCAAAGCTGCATCAAAGTCGCATCAAAATCAATATTTTTCAATTGGCAAAACGTGTTCAAAAATGCAAAACGCATGGAAAAACGCATCAATTCGCAACAGTCAGAGGTGTAAACATAGCCTAATGCCGGGCATAGACGGTTCAAAAATCGGCTGATTTTTCGGGCGGAAAAAAAAAAAAATCGGGTTAATTGGTTGGCCGTTTTCCGGGTTTTTTTGCGCAGTTTTTTTTATCGGTCATGTTGGAAAATTCGCGGGCGATTTGGACGATCGGCTGATTTTCCCAGCAATGATGAGCAAATCAGCCAATCGTTTTACCGATAAAAAAATCTGCGCATGAGCCGTGCCCTGCAAGG